GTCTCTGTCTGATACAATCGTGACGGGCACTCCGTGGAGTCGAATGATCCCACGGGTATATATCTCAGCCAACTTGTCCAGAGACATCTTCATCGAAACGGGTAAGAAATTAGCGACCTTGGTCAATCTGTCGACCACAACCCAGATAGCGTCGTGATGTTCAGACGACCTCGGCAATTCCGTAACGAAATCCATAGTGACTTCCTCCCACTTCCACCTCGGAATCGGCAGTGGTTGCAGGAGGCCGATCGGACTCTTATGCTCGGCTTTGACTTGCTGACAGGTAAGACACCTCTTGACGAACTCGGCGACGTCTTTCTTTAAGCCTCGCCACCAGAACGACCCTTTCAGGTCGTGATACATCTTGGTGCTCCCGGGATGGGCCAAGTAAGGTGCGGTATGTGCCTCTGATAGAATCTCCTTCCGCAACGCCTCGACCTTCGGGACCACGATCCTGCCTCTGAACTCTAAGGCACCATCTGCGCCTAGCTGAAAATCCTGGACACCTCCGGCGCGGACCTTGGCCTTCATGACACGAACAAACTCGTCAGAAGCCTGCTCTCACCGGATTCTCTCTCTCAGTGTCGGCTGAAGCTGCATAGCACTGACACTGGCACTGGTACTCCCCGAGACAGCTATGGGAAGTGCATCGATCGCCTGAAGCTGCATCCGGGCAAACTCATGAATCAACAGCCTCTACTGCGTAATGACGTACGTATAGTCACCCTTCACCTTTCGGCTTAGGGCATCCGCGACGACGTTTGCCTTTCCCGGATGGTACTGGATAGAACAATCATAATCCTTAACAATCTCAAGCCAACGGCGTTGCCTCATATTAAGCTCCTTCTGCGTGAAGATATACTGCAGGCTCTTATGGTCTGTAAATATCTCGCAGCGTCCGCCGTAAAGATAATGTCGCCAAATCTTCAGAGCATGAACGACTGCTGCTAACTCCAAGTCGTGCGTAGGATAGTTCTGCTCATGAGGCTTAAGCTGACGTGAAGCATACACAATGACCTGTTCGTTCTGCATAAGGACACATCCCAAGCTCTGTCTCGAAGCATCGCTAAAGATAGTGAAACTCCGAGAAGGATCGGGAATAGTCAACACCGGTGCTGAAGTTAACCTCCTCTTGAGCTCCTCGGAAACAGTAAAACTGGAATGTACAAGCTTAACTTAAAGCTTATACTTACTGATTGCATGACTTGCGAATCCAGTTATTTAATACTGAATAAAAGACTTGATCTGAACTGAAGATACATCAATTCACCATTAAGTGAATTGTAGGATACTGCTGACTGAAAATGGACACTTTTCTAAAAGAAAGTGTTCCACTGATAAGACATGATTTCAAAACGAAACTCTGAAATATGTTGGTCATCCACTCCTGGCTGCTGGCGAATCTCCAATCGGAATGCTGGTGGTGAAGACTCTCTCTGTAATCTCTCAGTGTACTGAGACTCAGGCAAGGCATCTTGAATGGAAAGCGTCGGTTTACCATCATGGCACGATCCGTTGTTGTCGATTTGCTCTTCTTCATCGCGGCGAATGTCAACCTGTGGTACCTGCAACTTTTTACTCCCTCCGAGGTTAAACTTAACCTCAAGAAGAAGTCCCTCATGACTTAATATCTCCCACGATTTCTCAGATTCTTCAGAATTTGAGAATCGAGGCGCTCACATACTGAAAATGATGGACAAGTCTTGTCTTATTAGACAAACTATCCTCGATTCTTAACATGACTGGCCTGAATACGCTCATGACTAAATAACCATGACTTGACTCTAACATGACTGAATTATCTTTAAAAACTATCCTGAGACAACTTAAATAGTCGTTTCGAGATTGAAAACGTGATATTTACTGACTTACTTGACCTGATAAGGTGCGACTTCAAGTTTCCAGGTAAATCTGGACTAATAGTCTGTATATCAGACCGCCACATTTTACCCGGCTGGACAACTATTATACGTCAACCTTACATCACGAACATAAACTGTAAATCGTGAACCTGAACTCTGTACTATATAGGGCTGCTCCAGTATCAACTGGTCCCGCAAGTACAAAGTAATTAGCTGATCTTGATTTCTGAAAGTCATAACTTAAAATATCATGACTGACATGACTGACTTGAAAGGTTGTTATTACCTGAAATCTTACTGATTCGGCCCCAGCTTCAAGCCTCCATGGTATACCCGGCTGAGTGGCTCTTATTTCAAGCCTCCATGGTAACCCGGACTATTGACTCTTATACACTGGAAACCGTTACCTTAACAATGACTTGAGAATTATAACAACCTTTAACATGAAAATTCTTGCCTTGAACATGACTTACTGATCTTACTTTGAGTCTATTCCTCGAATTAAATCAAGGAATTTCTCCCTGGAGTCTGCCAATTGATTGACAAAATGGCAGTTCTTGATAAAAATATCTGAGAAACATGATTATTAAGATTTGTTTAGCACGAGTGCTTACAAATCTTCTGACAAGTTGCTAACTTGACTTAAGTGAATCTAGAATTGAATCTAGAGTTCCCAAACTTAATTCTCTTTCTAAGGTTCTGAATCCACGCGTCCCCAATACAGTGATTTTCTACCCGGAGAATTTCTCAACATGATAGTCGCGGAACTGTGCGACTACTGTGGCTTGAGTAAGAGTCGGGTAATCGGATTCCCTACGGGGCGACCTCTGAACATTGAGAAAGTTTAACATTACTGAATACGTGATAACATTCTGGCTGATTACTAAGGCACACAAATCTCTTGACGAGTAGCTAAAAGTGGCCGGTA